TTATTATACCACAAAAAAATAAACAATCACAACAAAGTTAAATCAGGAAATCCAAAAAAAGTGAACAAGACATTGTAATTTTTTTTGCCTTCTGATTAGTAGAGAAGTGAATAGATTGCATATATTGTGTAAACTCAATCAGGAAGGAGATAAAATTTGTTTCTTTCTTTAAACATTTGCTTTTATGTGTATGAAATTTGGTCTTACAGTGACCGGTAGCTCCCGGTGTTTGATGATGTAATCCGTACTGTCCCAATTCTCAATTGTTTTGCATGCTTGTAATCTGCGCAGTCCAGCACTGATGTGCACTTCGACTGAATCCACACTTCACAGAGGGGCGCAGATTGCGCACTGAGCATTGGGACTGGGCCCTTGTCCACAGTGTGGGAACACTTTTCAATGGAAAACAATGATGCTGAAACTGAATCTTGCAAAACCTGCAAACTGATGTTCCTGGTGGTGGGAACAGCAAGGCTCGCTTTAATRCTACCAACATWGTCACTTTGAAAGAAATAAAGAAATAAARCTTTCAGATCAGTATTGGAAAGACTAATCATTAAAAATATTGGATTGTATCTGGAGCTTAAAAATCTGGATCRAGACATCCCTACTWACAAACACTGTGAAGCTCAAAGTTTTACTTTTCACAAGAACTTCACAATAAATTGACAACTTATTGATATCACAACATCAGTTTGTAGAGTATAAATATCACAAAACGGTAAAGAAATAATAATTCAGACAGACGGCACACAACAAATACAATCTGACAATCTGGTTAAAATACACTTCTCTACATACTCACAGGTTAAACATGGGCTGTGTTGTGAAYGTTGACAGAACATGAGGGTTAATTGCAACTGATACTGTCATTTCARTATTCTACAATATTGCAATCACACTGAAAGAAATTTTGTAAATGATTAAGTGAATGTTAGATCCAGATTTGTATTTTAATACTTTCTGATCATTGCAGCCTTAAGGTTTGTTATCGATGTGTTCTGGCTGCAGTATAAACAAAAMTGGTGACATTCTGACATCTGATGTAAAAGGTAACACCTGCAGAGGTGTAASCAGTAAGAAATACAYTATAAGGTCAATTCTYCATTGCAGAAGTTAGAAGTATTTTCATAAGCGTTTTGCAGAGYCTCTGCTTAGATCCAGCCTGGACAGACTGGGCTGCTTTGCTCAAGGTCCTACACTGAGGTCTAACTGCTGAATGCTGTACTGTATGAACCTGATCGGAGTCAGACATGAAAATAAAGAATTGAGAAGAAATCCAGTGGGTCCTGCTATTATTCAGACATGCTATTTTTGAACAGCRCATTATTTTTTACAACACGTTTTATTACGTCTTTCAGCTTTTAACAGATAATATGGATCTGTCAGTGTTTTCCTGGGCCATGACCTTGAGTGTGCACAGCAGTGGTTCTCAGCTGATGTGAGAGCTCTTCTAAGTCTGAGGCCATGGTTCTTAATCAGAAAACGGTGGAACGCTCCCTCCACCTCAAGMTGAGGAGTTCAGGTATCTCAAAGTCTTGTTTATAAGTGATGGTAGGATGAAGCAGGAGCATKGATCAGGTCCTCATCTTCAGTAAAGATAATGTTGCATCAGTCAACTGTGGAAACCATTKAGTCAAAAGCCAAGACTATTGATTTACTTGTTTGTCTATGTTCAAAATGTCCTGATGCATCTCAGCAATCCAGGTAGAAAAAAATCAAAAAGAAAAAATAAGTAGGTCCTCTAGATCAGTGGTTCCCAAACTTGTTGTCTTCTGACCCACAAAATATCCATGACAAAAACTTGTGACCCCAAATATTAC